CACAAGACTCCTGCAACGACAACAGCAACCACAAAAGAAGAGGGAATTAGGAAAGCGAAAAGAGAGCGAGAGTGATGGAAGGAAGGAAAGGAGAATATGTGAGGAGGAAGGAAGGGGAAGAAGGGCTAGAGGGGCCGAGGGGAAGCAGAAGGGGGGATAAGGCTGGGAGGGAAGCGGCAGGAGAGGGAGAGGGGGCTTGGGAAGGAACCAGGAGGCGGCAGACACGGAATAAGGGAGGGACGGGTGAGAGAGCAGGAGGGAAACGGAGGAGGAAGGGGAAGAGAAAAGTTAGGCCTGTGAGAGAAACCACAGAGGCCAAGGTAATACGACGTCAGTAAGCAGAGTGGTGAGAAGATGAATGAGAGGAAGAGAGGAAAACTGCAACGCCTTTGTCTCCGCAGAGCCTGCTGCCTCCTGGGAGCCCCTTTGGGTCCTGCTCCTCTGACAACTGCGGCTGACTGTGCTGTCTGGCAGTTCTGGGCCTCCTGGGGTACTTAGGTGGTAACCACTGTCAGAAACTGTCCTCCTCTGGCCCTCAGCCAACCTGCTTGAAGCTCCAAGCGATCCACAGTCTGTGTCTGTCTCCACCAGACTTGGCTGCTCATGGGAGGGGCCGAGCTGCATTCTGAGGCCTGTTTATTAGCAGCACAGGGCCCAGGGACACTTCCCCAGGTTCCCCAGGCTCCAGCTCCATCTGCCTCCACCTGCTCTCAATATTAATTACTCAAAGTCTGATTCTGAATGGGCTTTAGGTAGAATTGGGTGTCTAGACCTCTGGGTCTCCCATGAGGGGGAGGTGCTGTTCAGATTTCAGGGAAAGTGGTGGGTGTGTTTCCCCATTCCAGAGCTATTACTCTTGAGTGTCCCAGAATATTTTCCTACCCTTGGCTGGGGGGAGATTCTCATATGCAGTCCAGTGGGATCAGCTGAAAACCTGGAGTTTCTATCAGCTCTCCTATCAGGGGAAGCACCAGTCAGTTTCCCTGGATAGTGGGGTGGATGGTTCCTCCCCTTATCCAGTCACTGATGCTCCCTGAGACTGTTCAAACCTGTGGGCTTGGGGTGTGCTGCTGTTTCTTCTGCAAGGTTCAAGATGCAGAGTATGGCAGGCAGGGCTCCTGAAAGTGGTGTGGGCTGTGTCCCCTAGGGGGTGTTTTTTTCCATTTCTGAGCCATGGCTTCTGGGAGGGGCCAGTGCCTCTTAGGAAAAATGGCCATTTCCGTTTTGGGGAGTATGACCCAATGCAGGACTCCCCACTGCTGCTTTTCCATGTCTGCCCCCAATGCTTACCACTCCAACTTCTCAGGCACCTGAGTCCACACCGTCTTCCCTCCTCCAAAGCCTCTGGTAAGTAGCTGCAATTGAAACTCCTGTGCTCTGGGTTTAAAAACAAAAACAAAAAATACTGAGGCTTTCTCTCCGACTGGCTCTGGTCTCCTTGGTGGCCAGCAGCCCTGCCACCTTTCCTGGTTGGATGTCCCCTGAGCCGCTGGTCTGGACTCTGGTGCTCCAGGCTGTGGAGCGCAGCCTGGGGTCTGGGCCTCGGTCTGCTCAGGGAAAGGCCCTCCCGTGGCCGAGAGCTCCCTCCTTCCTCTCCCTGCTGCCCTGGGAAGCTGGGCAGCCCCACTCGGACCTTGCCCTTCCTGCCAGTCTCCAGGTGGTTTCTGCCCTTCCTTGATATCAGTCTCCTCAGCTGGACCTCAGTTGGTAATTTTGGGTGAATGTTCCACAGTTTAGTTTTATTTCCAGTCTGGCCCTTGGAGGAGGTGTGAGAGAGGTCTGCCTTTCTGGCCGCCATCTACTCTCCCCTCTCGAAATCAGGGCCACTTGTTTTTTGGAGGAGTTTTGCTCAGTTTTAAATAAAGCCCATTTACAGGGACAGGAACAGAATTTGCTCATGGCCAACCCTTCCCTTGCCCCAGTCTCACCACACTGAGTGGACAGGTGCTCCCAGCAGGTGCCTCTGCCCAGGTAGGCTGAACTCCTGGTCTGCTTCACCAAAGCCAATGCAGTAAGCCCACAGTTCTGACATAATCAGTCATTGTGTTAGTAGTGAGGGCTCCCCAGAGAAGCAGATCAGTTTGTGTGTGTGTGTGGGTATGAGTGAGATGCAGGGGTGTGAGGGGGTGTGAGATAGGGTGTGTGTGTCATGGATGATATGTTTGCATTATGGAGGGTGTGCATATGTGTGTCTGCTTGTGTGTGTAGGGTCTGGCAGACCCAAAAATCCGCATGGTGAGCCACTCAGGGAAGAGTCCGTGTTGCAGCTCAAGTCTGAAGGTTCCTGGAGGCAGAGTTTCTCTTCCTAAGAATTCTGGTCTTGTGTGTTTTCTAGGCCTTTGACTGATTGGTGAGGTCACTCACGCTATGGAAGGTCATCTGCTTTACTCAGAGTTGCCTAATTTCAGTGTTCTAATAAAAAAATCCTGGACATCTCGACTGGTGTTTGAGCAGATATCTGGATGCTAGGGCCTCACTTAGTTGGCACTGAACTTCACCACCCCGCCGGCCGGGCTGTAAACGAGCGATGCAGAGGCCAGGCTGCGTGCGCGCTTGGTCGGGTGTCCAGCGGCCCCTGCAGGTGGCCGGAAGGGAGTGTGTCTCCTCAGTTAATCGCCCCTCGTGCTGGCGTCATGCTTGTTTTGCTCCTTTACCAGGAGTTTTGCTTTCTCGAATTGGCCTTTTCTCCAGTAGTAGCTTGGTCTGCGTTTCGTCTGGTGGTGACTCTCAGGCACCTGCCACCTTGGGTCACTTCCTGAGGAGGCTGTACCTTTCCGTTTGCCTGAGATCTTGGTAGTGAGCATTTGCCAGAGTGCTAGCTGTATGTGACGACTCTCCCCATCCTGTTGCTTTCCTTTGCTCTTTTCTTTCTTTTTGGTTCTATTTCATCTTACTAATGCCACGTTACTGTTTTGTGTGTGTCTGCCTGAACCTTGGAATCTTTTATGCAAAGTGTGTGCATTGGTGCAATCACAGGAACTCGGCACCAGCAGAGAGGCCAGTGTACCGGGAGAGGGCAGAACAAGCTGTGGGGCCCAGCGGGG